ATTTTAAAAATATAAAATATACATATTAGAGGTGGTAAATGTTAAAAATGATATTTAAGGGGTACCTATTACATAGGCTATATTTCAAAGTGCAAAATGTATTTCTCCCAAATATAAAATTGTAGAAGAGTGGAACTCACAAACCAAAACCGATGGACCTAAATGAAAATGGTCAATTTCGAGCGTCCCCGCATAAAAAGTGGAAAACTGATGACAGTTTTTGAATTGGTACATAGATTTAGGACTCATTAAAACTTGGCAATGACAAGTTGTGGAATAAACAAAGACTTGTGCATTGCTGTCTTAAAAAGAATATACTAAAGAAAGACCATTGTCCTTTCATTTTCTTTTCAATTAAGACAAACTCTTCCTTCCGGCCGGAAAAAAGAAAAGAAAAAGAAATTGAAAGAATAGGAAGAAATGGATGTTCTGGGTCTTGTGAGGATTCGTGTCCGCCGAGGAATCAATCTCGCCGTGCGCGACACTGTCAGCAGCGATCCTTATTGCGTCATCACCTGCGCTACTCAGGTCAATTTTCTTATTCTCTTTTCTTCTTGTCTATTTGATTTGTTTTTGCATCTATATATAGTGAAATTATTATTTATGGTCAATTCTTTTGTTTTCGTTTTTTGATTGTTTGATTAACGGAAAATTATTATATGCTGATGAAGATTTTCAAACGTTTTTTTGTCTTCCTTGTCGCTGAAATTTGACTGTTCGTCACAGCATTTCGATTTTAGCCTTACCTACCTACATCGGACACCTGGTGATAAACACCGGGTTGGTTTTCTGCTGACACGTGTCCTCTTTTTGTATTTTATAATATATTCTCCGGCTTGGGTCCTGTAGGGATTTTAGAAAAATACAAAAAATGACACATGACAGAAGAAAATCCACCGGTAGTTTATCACCGGGTATAGGGCCAAAGGAGCCCATTGTTTAGACTTTAAAGTTGACTTTTCTTTCCCCCAAAACATAAAGTGTAAATCACGGCCATCTGAAGTACAGTTAAATTACGACAAAATCCATCTTGTTTTGGTAATTACAATCATTATCTCAACTATGAGTTTTTCTTAAATGTCAACTCTCATGATGTCAAATTTAACGTAATCTTGTAGATTCCATGGAATGTTCTCTACTTTGTACTCGTTTTGTGCAAAAATGCTGTTTCTGATGCACTACAATCTGATATTTACAAGTCAAGAGACACATATTATAATCATCTTGTTTCAATATGTGGAACTCGAATAGTGTAAAATGGGTACAAACTGGAGAACATTTCATATACTCTAGAAGATTCCAAACCGCAAGGGTGGACGTGTAAGAAGATTCATAGTTGAGAGGTAGTTGTAATTATCCAAACATGAGGGTATTTTTTCGTATTTTAACCTTACCTCAGAGGGTGGCCGAATTTACCCATCAAATACAATACAAATGGCCATATTTTTTTTTTCAAACAAACATATTTTACCAAACATTCTTACTATTTCCCTTGAAAAAATTAAAATAAACATTAAATGACATTTATGCAGAAATGGAACCATGCCTCGAGCCATTTAAGAAAATTAATTCTTCATTAAGATTGATAAGTAGATATTTAGTATAACTACTAGCACTTATAAATTGATCGATGTTGTTCCGATATTTATACGGCATGGATGGTGTATCTTAATTCTTACATATGCAGAAAGTGAAAACTAAGGTTGTGAGAGGAACCTGCAACCCCGTGTGGAACGAGGAGCTCACTATTTACATTAAGGACCTCGATGTTCCTATCGTTCTGGTAATTACCATTGAATTAATTGTAACCATATACTTATATATATATACATATACTTACACATATAGTATAAATATAGTGTGTGTTCGACAAAGACACGTTCACGGTGGATGACAGCATGGGAAGAGCAAAAATAGACATAAAACCGTTGATAGAATGTCTGAGGATGGGATTGGAAGGTCTGCCAGATGGCACTAAAGTTGACAGGGTTCAGCCGAGTAAAGAGAATTGCTTAGCCGACGAGAGCTGTATTATTTGGAACAAAGGCGGCAAAATGACGCAAGACATGCTTCTCAGACTTGAAGACGTCGAGTGCGGTCAAATTGAGATCCAAATCGAATGGATTCAACTTCCCGGTAACAAAGGTCTCTAAAGAAGTTGATACTCTGTCTCAAACAAAAACGATAATGAGTTGATTAGGTATGTAACATAAATAAGAGTGCTTGTATTCCTTGGTGATTTATGTATAAACCTTCATTTTTACGAAACTTTTATATTTTTGTTTGTTTTCCATATGTAATTTATGACTTTCATGCATGTTTTGCCCTTTCTTAAGTCCATGTATATCATGTAATGGAGGTTAATTCCCATGCTATTGTTCCGGGGGGAAAACGTGTTATAATAACAGGTTGAAGACTTGAGATTTTGCGAAATATATCAGTTGGAATGTGATGGGGTGGTTGTTTAAAAAAAATGCGATCATTGGAAATAAAAATTGAAATGTTGAAAAAATATCATTATATAAAAATTGAGTTTGATTTAGAAATTTGAATTTTTTTTTTTTTTTTTTCTGGTTGTCCGATCCGGTCAACTCCTTCATTGATGATGGTGAGACTCCTTTATTGATGATATTACAAAGTACATCTCAGCACTCAGTTTATTGACATCACATGTGCATAACTTTAACAAAAAACACGGAGAGAGACATTCACTATAGCATTACTTTAACACTTGGTTGTGCATGTGCCAAGCTTGATTTTGATCCTGTTTCACTCTGAATCTCTCTTCACTCTACCTAGAGGTGAACATAAATCCGCCCAACCCGACCCGTCCGCCCGACCCGCCCGAAACCCGCAAATTTCACCTATAAAATTTTGTCTAGCAGTTTGGTTTTGTGTACACCCGAGTATAATTGGTCGGTTGGCGGGTTTGACAGTTCAAACCTGCAAGCCGCCCGCAAATAGCCCATACGGTAATGCATTGCCTACCTCCTCTTTCCCAGCTTTCTCCATTTCGCGTTCTACTTCAATTCATGTTCCAGCCAACAATTTTTTTCAAGTAAACAATGTATATTACACTACTTATCTGCCAAAAAATAACCATTTGAGGATTTCTAAAGATAAAAACAAAAAGACATGAAATAGAGTCAGTGAGAAATTAGAAGTAAAAACAAGAGGGAGTAGAGCCAGTAGGCCATTTTACTGTGAATAAGTAGTCTTTTGTTTGGAAGAAATGTAACTTGAAAGGCACGGTTTTGAATTCCACAGGTTTTTTTTAGAACTTTTGTTGGTATTGCATATTTGTTCCACCGTCCGCCATCCGCCCGCCACCCGCCTCACCCGAACCAACCCGAACCGTGCGGTTTTGGACTACAAATTGGTAGGTGCAGTCAGAGCCGGTTATGAGAATTTTGGGGCCCTAAGCGGAGTTTAACATTATTGTTTTGGTTTTTTTGAATAGTATGTAAATTATATTGTTATCGGCACACATTTTTAACAAATATTTTATTTAATAAACAAACTTTTTTTTCTCTTTTATTGAAATAACAATATGAATTTGAAATATATCAAATACGTGGCATTGTAAAAACATTTGATGACATAATGATATATGCATATATTTCATGCATAAACAACACATTATGGGGAGGAAAAAAACAATTGCTGATCAAAATTATTAAAAATACTTATATTGATCATTATATTGTTCGTCTCAACCGACAACAGTTCGTTTCAATCTTTTTATAATATGGATGTTTGGTTTAAGATTTAATTATAATCTTAAAAAAAATTGACATATACATTTGAATATTAATAACATACTATAATTACTTTATAAATAATATTATCTACAAAACACAATATTTAAATTCGTCTTTATATTTTTTGAATAGTTGAGATTATAAAATATTCCATTAACATATAATTTAAAACAACATCTAATAAAATATTTAAGCACTAAAATGTACTATATAACTAATTATTGGTGCCATATAGTGGTTTATAAAAAAAATGTGGGGCCCCCTTGTGGGGTGGGGCCCTAAGCCAAGCCTTCCCTGGCTTACCCCAGGCAGGCTCTGGATGCAGTTTGCTAATTTGTCAACCCACACATGTTGGGTCAGGTTGTTTTTTTACCGAAACCCGCCCAAACCCGCCCGTGTTGACCACTTGTCCGTACCCATCAAAATAGGGAAGTTTTAGATCAATCCATTGGCTTTCAATAGCTCGGACATATAATGCGAGAGTTATAGCTTAAATGACAAATTCGAATTGAAAAGCATGGAATTTTGTTTAGATGGTGGATGTATTTTGATATTTAAAGTTGAACATTAGTGAAAAGGTATGTTTATTGATTTGAAGATACTTGATCGCATGATGTTAGCAAATGAAGTATCTATTTCTATTTATATTATTTCACCATCTCAATGGACGGGTTGATCAATTTGATCAATAAGATTATATGGGTTCATAATTCCAAAGACTTTTTACATGATATTTTAATGCAGATGTTTCTAGTAAGTCTTTAGAATATTGATTAAGTATGTACAAGTCTCATATGGTCGTTTATTAGGATAATTATATTTTTCGGTGCCAGGAAAACTCTTTAAACTCTTTAAAATATCCCTATAAACGACTAACAAAAATATTTCTGAAATTACAATATATGTTTAATTAATTTTTTACATATTACGAGCATCTCCGATTGGTCGTTATATTGCCATTTTTCATCGAATTTAGGTGTTTTTAACTCCCACCCGAAATTCCTATATCACCGTTAACCTAAAATTATCGAAATTTGGTTTTAGCCTACCACCATGGTCAACCCCTATATCATCATATATATATACTCAAATTCTATTTTTCCACCAAATGTTTTGGTGAAGGAATTTTCATCTCCCACAAGTCCACCGTTTAAATATTTTTTCCACCAAATTCTATTTTTCCTACCAAATATATAGGTGAAAATAGGATTTGGTGTAGTTAACACCATTTTGTTAAGTAGCATATTAAATAACGATTTTAACTAATTGCACCTGATTACCAACTTATTAGCATATTTGTCGTAAATACTAGGGGTGTGCACGAGCCGAGCTCGCCTCATTTGGAAGGTTCGAGCTCGAGCTCGACAAAATGAGTTCGTTCTTTTTAGGCTCAAGCTCAAGCTCGAGACTAAGCTCATTTTGTAGGTTTTTTTTAAATATTTTTTTAATTATTATTTTATTATTTGTAAAAATTATTTTAAAAAAATAAAAAATTAACAATAAATTGTAATTATATATATATATATATATATATATATATATATATATATAATATTTTATATTATTATACATTATTTAAATAAAAAATAATATATAAAAAAATAAAAATAATAATAAAAAACTAAGGCTCACGAGCCGGCTCGTGAGCTTACGAACAACTAAAAACTGGCTAAAGCTCGAGCTCGAGCTCGAAAAGCTCGAGTTCGAGTTTCTCTCGATCCGGCTCATCGAGCTCACGAGTCGACTCGGCTCGTTTACCACCCCTAGTAAATACGTTGGTGTTAATTACTAAATTAGTTTTTAAAATATAAATACATTATTATTAACAAAAACATTAATTCTAATAATATAAATATGCTTATTTTTAATTAATTTGTATATTTTTTTGGTATCAGTGTTGATTAGTTCATTTCTTTACTTAACTAATATGCTAATTGCTATTAATAAAATGGGAAAATTGGCTAGACACCCCTTATTCTAGACTTATATAGGTGGAAATCCAATTTATTAGATGAATATAGGTGTATGTCCTTGATAAATTAAATTAAATTAAATTATTAGTGTATAGACATAGATACTCCCAATTAATATTATATGTAAATAGTTGTTTTAGAAATTGAGGGACAAATCCCATAATCTCCCACTCTCTCTCCTTTCTACACGGTTAACATCTCTTCATCACCTACCGCATCTCTCTCTCTCTCTCTCTCTCTCTCTCTCTCTCTAATTCACAACTCGATGGGAAAGTTCATCACTTTTTCAAACGGGGACTTTTCCTTGAATATTTTGACTCATTTTCCAGGGGGGCTTCAAAAACATTTTCCCCCCCAGGGGGCCTTTTTTTTAAAAGAACCAATTTAAAAAAAAAGGGGGGATTTTCAACCCCAAAATATTTTTTTAAT